TGGGAGCCTGCTTCCTCATCTGTAAGGTGGGGAGAACACTGTTTACCTCTAGAGTTGTTGACAGAATGAAATGAGATCAAGCACTAGACATGGGACATCATACATGGAAAGCACTCAGTGAACTATAATTGACATCTTATTTTGATCATGGTCACTATTGTCATTGTCATCATTAGATCATGATAGGACGGAGCAGGTAGTTTGAGATGAACTAACTTATCTTAAAAAGCAGAACTCTAGAACTCTCCACAGTGTGGGCTCCAGAGACCTTGGTTCTGATTATCTCCTGATTTCAGGAACTACTCTTGTCTCCTTCAGTCTTTGGCTTAAAATTCTGCTCTTTGTCTTTTCTCCCCACTCTGGCCTCACACTGAATGCTTGAAATTATTCTTGCATGTAAGTGTTAAAGCTGTGATGACTCAGACCAGTGATTGGTGTGGCCAGCTGATGGAGATGCAGCAAGTGTCTATTTTAAATGCTATCCAAGCTATTTTCCACCTCAGGGCCTTTGCACTCAGTGACCCCCCTTCGTCTGGAATTCTGTTTCCCCAGCTTTTTCTATGGTTGACTTCCTTTCAATTTTCAGATCTCCACTGAAAGTTTTTTCCTGAAAGGCCTTTCCTGACCATCCCAAGTAGAGTAGCATTTTCCCTCAAATTCTCTTACCTAGTACCTCTTCTGTATGCTCAGAATCTTAATAACATTTGGTAACTTTCGTCTATCTACCTATTACTTGTTTAGTATGTTTCTCCCCATGAGAGTATAAATTCCACGAGGACTGGACTACATCCTTCTTCTACGTTATTATATTCTCAGTACACAGGAGATTGCCTGGCACATGACAGGTACTCACGAGATATTTGTGAGTGAATAACTATTTTAAAAAATCATCTAAGATCAAAAGAATAGAGAACCAACCAGAAATCGATACATACTGAATCATGTCTGTTTTCTGAAGCCACATTCTAAAGTATCACAGACTTTTTTCCCAACTTTTTTTTTGGAAAAATACCAATCTATGGTAAAAACTGAAAGAATATTAAATGACTCATAAACTCTTTATAAGAAATTGCCTAACTTTTTCCAGAGAGATGGTACCATTTTACATTCCCACCAGCCCTGTGTGAAAGTTCAGGCTGCTCCACGTTCTCACCAAAACTTGGTGTTGTCAGTCTTTAATTTTAACCATTCTGGCGGGTGTGTGCTGGTACCTCATTGAAATGTTGATTTTCATTTCCCTTATGACTAATGATGTTGAGCACTCTTTCACGTGCCTATTGGTCATTTCTGAAACCTCCTTTGTGAAAAGTCTGCTCCTGTCCTTTGCCCCTTTTATAACTGGATTGTTTTTATTTTTTATATTTTTTAAAGATTTTATTTATTTATTAGAGAGAGAGAGAGAGAAGGTGCGCATATGAGCTGGAGGGAGGGGCAGAGGGAGAAGGAGAAGCCGACTCCCCATGAGCAGGGAGCCCAGTGTGGGGCTCTATCCCAGGACCCTGGGATCACGACCTGAGCCAAAGGCAGATGCTTAACCAACTGAGCCAGCCAGGCGCCCCAACTGGATTGTTTTTAAATTATTGAGTAGTAGGAGTTTTTCATTTACTCTAGATACAAGTGCACTGTCAGATATGTTTTGCAAATATTCTCTCGCATATTGATGTCTTGCCTATTCCTTGTTTTTGTTGCTGTTTTGTTTTGTTTTTTGGCTTAGCAGTGTCTTTTGATGAGGAAAAGTTTTAAAGTTAGTGAATTTTAATTTATCAGTTGCTTTCTGTGTTCACTCATATACCCTTCATCAACATTCATTAATATTTTGCCACATTTGCTCTCTCGGTCTTTCTCCTTTTCTGAATCATATGAAAGTGAGGTAGGTATAACCATGAGGACACCTCACCCAGAAATACATTAGCATGTATTTCAGGAGAACAAGAACCTTCTCTAACGTAATGGAGTATCATCACTGTCATCATACCTATGAAATTTACATTGTTACATAGTGCAAAGTTTATCCATATGCAGATTGCCCCAGTTGTTCCTCGCTCTCAGTAATGTCCCTGCTTTTTTTTTTTTTTCCAAGTTCAAAATCCAATCAAGGACTTCCTTAACATTTAGTTGTCCTGTATCTCTAGTCTCCTTTAATCTGAACTGTTATCTAGCCTTTTTAATACTTTATGACGCGGACATTTTTGAAGAATACAGGCAGCTGTTTTGCACAATGTCTCTCAGTTTGGAATTGTTATTTCCTCATTATTAGATTCAGATTAAATATTTTTGGCAAGAATTCTATATGGATAATGTTGCGTCCCTCCTATTGCATCGCAGAAGGAAGCAAATAATGTCAGTTTTCCTTATTAGTGAGCCTGAGTGTGATCACTTGTCTAAGGCAGCATCTCAGGATTTCTTCATTGGAAAGGTACTTTTCACATTTGCAGGGGGAATACCTTGTAATTATGGTGAGATGCTTTGAGACTTTGTGAATCTTAAGTCCCCCAATAAAATTTCACCCAGTGAAAATTTAGCATATGTTAATGATTCTTGTCTGAATCAGTCATTACATTGCTGGTGGCAAATGTTTTTCTATTTCAGTGATTCCTCTCACATTTATTAACTGGCCTGCTTTTGTAAAGAGGAGCTTTCACCTTTTTCCTCTTCTTACTGTTTCTGAGTATCAGTCCATGGATTTTTAAAACTGTATGTATTAAAATTCATTAGAGTCATTATTCTTTTTGACAAAGCATCAGAAATTTCAAAGTGCTTAATACATGAAAGGTAGTATTTTACAATAAGCTTGAATATTTGAAGCACTGGAAGGAATTCACCTTTTATATCCAAGGGAATCCAAGCTATCTCAGGTAAGTCAACTAATTAGCAGGGTGTAATCAATACCATTTCCTCTGAACTTTCTCATTAGCAGCATGAGCTTTGGAGTAATAACTCCTGAAGTTATTTTTAGAGTTTACCATTACCAGTGCATACCATATGCAAATGAAGATCCTTCGCCCCATACATAATTGCTGTTAATTGTTAAAATAAATGAGCAAAAATCTTAAATCCAGCAATTACTTCTGATTTTCTCTGGATTTTTTTTTTTCCTTTTTTGCCCCGCAAAGCTGATGTTGAGGAGTGTGTTTTCCAGAGCCCTTTCCAGGAGAAATAAGTGTCTCAGTGTGGGTTTGCAGAGGCCTGTAAGGATGCTTCTTTGGGAAGAGGTTACCTAATTTCTGTGGTGGAGAACAGAAAACTGTAAATTATCTACCCACTCCACCTCACCCACATCATCAGTGGTTGTGAAAGGGTAACCAGCCTTGGCTAGCAGGTCAACCGTGGTAGTTTAAAAGCTGAATCAATATCGGTTGCCACCCTGGTTGCTGCTCTCCATAAATTGCATATTTGACATGTAGGAGAAGAATTTAATTTTTAACATTTTCCAATTTTATTCATTCAATAAGCATTTATTAAGTGTCTTGCATATTTTGGGCCAGGGGAGGACCCAAGTTTTGTAGGACTAGGCTCTGATGTAATTTGGGGGCCTCTTTAAGAATAAGAATACAGAGGTGCAAATAAAAATTTTTTGATATAAAATCAACATTTACTTAGAATAACAAAAATTATAACAAATTACAAATTTAAGAAAGCTGCCAAATAATACAAACATTACAAAATTCAGAAAAATATCATAATGTTTTTCTTAAATACCTGTCAAGCTTCTGTATTTTTCCTACACTTTTTGCTTGCCTACACTTTGATTGCTTTTTATTTGACAGTGCTTTTGTGTTACATTTTCCTGAGAGAAAATGAAAAGAGAATTCAGTCTTTCCTCCAACACAGTGGACAGAAATGTAGTTTTTATTATTGATAGTTTGGGAAAGTTTATTTTAGGCTTACAGCTTTTTGTTGGTAATACCGTATACATTTTTAGGATTGTTTCAAATTTTGGAAAGCTGCTGTTAAGTTTCTTCCATGTATGAGCAGTAAGATTTCAGGACATTATACCCTTTCTTGTATAGTGACAATGAATTGACATTTGAACGAGTTTGGTGTCTATTTCCTCTTTAGTGGCATCTTGTGACTTTCTTTTATCTTTATGTTTGTCACTATTTTGTGTCAAATCAGTAAGAAATTTCAGTGATTTTTCAAGTTGATTTACTCTTCACTATTTGTATTCCTAAATAATCTAAGAGGCTGTTTATCATGAAAAAGTACATCTCTTTCTCTCAATAAATCATGGTTTTTGTATGTCTTTTGTCTGGTATTGACAGACTTGCTTAGGACAAATATGTTTTATATGCTAACATGAGACCCAATATGTTGACACACATAAATCATGTGACTTCATACATAAGTGCATTCATTGTTTGTGGTACAACTCCAGGTTTGCCCCCCCCAAACACAGAAATTCTGTTAAATTCCACTGTACACGATTTCCTCAAAAAGGAAAGATAAAATATAAAATTAGAAGTTGCGTTCATAACATACGCTGAATTATTGAATCTGTTCTTGACAGGAAAGAACTTCCTTTTTAAGTAAGCAAAGATGAGGTGTGCCTGGGTGGCTCAGGCCCTGAAGCGTCTGCTTTCGGCTCCAATCCTGGGATCCTGGGCTGGAGAATCAGGCTCCCTGCTCAGTGGGGAGTCTGTCCCTCTCCCTCGGTTCCTCCCCCCACCCCCCGTGCTCCTCCCCCCCCAAATAAATAAAGAAAATAAAATCTTTTTTTAAAAAGTAAGCGTAGATGAGAATTGAATCATTTATTTGCAGTTTTACAATTTGATGATTGGAAGACTTTTCCTAGCGACTAGCATCTGGGTCTCTACCACTATCTCCCTACTTTCACGCCAGCTGTTGCAAGATAGCTCTTAGCCCAAGATGGCCTCTGGCCCTGCTCCTTTGTACTGTGACACCAGTTGTCCCGGGAGCCATTTCAGGATGGAAATGACAACTGTGAATTGCATAAATACAGCCCCATAAGCCCAAACTAATACAACCCCAAGTCAACTTACTCTTGGCTGGAGGCTCAGAATGCCTGTATCCATCCCAGTGTTGTCCGGTGTGATGGGAAGTATGACAGAAAGGAAGTCAGAGTGGGTTGCAAGAGTTGACACCTGTCAAGTGCACAGACCAGTGCGGGACTCCTAGTAAGGCATTCGCAGGTGTAGTTAACACCATCCTCCTCCTCCTCCTCCTCACCACTATACATATTTTGGTGGACTTTTCAGATTTTAGTGGTTTGGCACTTGGAATTCTTATAAGCATCTTCTTCCTATTTCTACTTCCTTTTCCTTTTAGAATCTAGATTTCAAAAACGTTAGAGCTGGGTGAGCCCTTAGAGAGCATCTGCTCCACCCCTTCATTGTACAGATGAGGAATTTGGGGCTGAGGTCACTCAGCTAGTTAATGGCAGAACAAGGACACGTGTCTTTTAGCTCCTGATACCACGTTTCCTTTCTCTCAAGTCTCGTAGGCAGATCTCTATCAGACTACACCCAACCTCCCGGGATTATGAGTACATTGATTTAGGCATGCATTGACTTAATCTTTGTGGGGTTTCTCCTCCCACCCACGCCAACTGATGTTTTTAAGAGTTAGCATTCCCAGTGTGCTTCTGAAATGCCACATAGCGTTGCTCATTTCGATAGGACTTTTTAGCAAAGTGAACTGTATCATGAACATTCTCACAAGAAACGGAAACTCACCCTGTGAAGAGGTAAGCTCTCCATGGGCTTTGTGTTTTCCTTTCCTCAGCGGGGGAAGAGCCTATTTGTCAGCTGTCTGGCCTTCTCTGGTGCTTGGTTTTTAATCTCCACGGAGGCGAGGCTGACAAAATGTCATCCCTTCTCCTGCTAAGGAAAGAAGCTGTGAAATAGATCTTCACTGCTTACATGCCTCATGTTGCTTAGCACCAGCTGTATCCATAACACCATGGTGTATTTAAAATACTGCTCCATTGGAATATTTTTTAAATGAATTCTGATGCTCATAAATACCCCAACTAGGCGTTCTGATATTAGGCTGATTTTTATCTTAACTGGAATAATTTCCCTGAGAAAACGTAAGTGAATGGACATATGCTTATATACTGCCCATTACTGATCTGGATTTTCTGGTATAAATTCTAGGAATCTCTTGATTCAGAGAGAGGAAGAGAAAGGAGCTAACATATTCAGCCACTTTTAAGTATTTGTGCTTATATCTATCATCTCAGTTGAACCTTAGCCAGAGTCTTGGGAAGCAGGGAGCTTTAGACACATTTTATATTTGAGTAACTTGATCAAGATTGTATCATAGGACATTTTGGAAAAGGTTTTTTTTTTGCTTATCTATTTTCCAGTTTAAGAACTAATAGTCTTGATCAAGATTGTATCATAGGACATTTTGGAAAAGGTTTTTTTTTGTTTATCTATTTTCCAGTTTAAGAACTAATAGTCTTGATATAATAGTCTTCATCTAGAAATAAAGAAAAAAATACATAGATAAGGGTTTTGTAAGATCATGTTACTAAAGCTTGCAAAAGAGACAAAACAATGTGTTCCAGCTGAGACCAGGTTGGGAGAATAAAAGGCAAGAAACCACCAACAAATGTCCTAACACCCATGGTAATGACATCAAAGAGGGCTGTACAATCTTGGGCCCTCTGCTTTGGAAGGTGGATTTTGAAAGACATCTTGGTTATATTTCTGTGAGGCTCATTTGTTTCCTATCCTTCTGTCTTGTCTCTTTCCTCCTTCTCTTTATTCGGTCTCTTCTTGTGGCAAATAACAGTTTCTAAATTGATGCCCTGGTACCTAACAACTTGAAAGACAAAGGCACAAGCAGTATCCTCCTGGCAACTCTTTATGATAGCTTCCCTTCCAGAGATTTGCCCTGTGGCAGCTTCAGTCCATTATCATCACTTCTTTTGCCCATTTTGGCAGTGCCCCAAGACCCAGGGAGGAAGAAACAGATCTGCAGATATGCAAACCTCAAAATCAAGACCGAGTTAATGAAATCACTCCTCCACTTGCCCCTGCCTTTTACTGAATCCTGCTCCAGCTGGGATGGAAAAAGAGCATTGGTCAAAAGCAGATCAGATTTCTCCACTGCTATTTCTTCCTTTCTTAACTAAAAAGAAAACAAAGCAGCACACAAAACAAACAGGACCTCCCCCCCACCCCCCAAAAATGACACAAGATGGGAGTGAAGGTAGTTTATACTATTTTCATATTTCATGTGTTCAATCAGATTTTTTCTCAGCAAATATGATTGGAAGTGGTCCTTTTTCCTTCTTTTACCCCCTTCTGGCATGAGATTGATAGGTGAAGATAGAAATACACTGGCCCTCCAAGAAAGAGCTGCTTCTGCTCAGCACATAGCCCATCTCCTTGCCCTCTTCCTTGCTCCTGCTCACCTCTCTCTCTCTCTCTGCCTCCCTCTCTCCTTCAATTCAGGGCTTAGAGAAATCTTTCACTCTTCTTTTGACAGGTGTCAGATAGACTGTATGAGCTCATTTAGGCTGAACTGTCTAGGGGAAACGAAATTTGTTTGGGAGAACAGCAATTTGGATGACAAGTACCAGGACACACCAGATAGCATGACTGGGGAAACTCTTATCAGGCTCCCAGCTCACGTTCCAGGTGGCCTCCTTGTCTCTTTCTCATTCCTGTTGTTGCTTGTTCATGGTTGACCCAAACGGAAACCTTGAAATACAAATGAAGTTCTTCTAAGTTCCCAAGAAACAGAAATGATAGTGACTCAGCATGAGATGTCTACATCCCCCCAAAAGGATAGCCAGTGCTTGCTTACTCTCACTTACGTTTATTATCCGGATGCTTCCCAGACCTGTTTGGGAAGAAGCCTCAAATTTGAGCCCTGCTAGTTATTTAATAAACAGGTCTGTTACCTAAGCTGCAAAAAATTTGACATTTTAGACAGTCCCCAACTGTGACTACAGTTTGGCAATTCTTGCCAAGATATGAACAGAAGTGTCCTTAAACCTCTTTCCCCTTTTGCCACACAGTTTGGTATCTTACTTGCCTGAAAGGGAACCTGTGGTCACAAATGTCATGGGAAAGTATTTAGTGAACGTGAGATTTTTTTGGTCTGTGTAAAACATTCTAAAATTCAAGGCCAGGGCACTGTGGCAGGCTCTAATCTATGAATCATTATATTCTTTTTTTTTTTTTAAAGATTTTATTTATTCATAAGAGACAGAGAGAGAGGCAGAGGGAGAAGCAGGCTCCCCGCTGAGCAGGGAACCCGATGCGGGACTCGATCCCAGGACCCTGGGATCATGACCTGAGCCGAAGGCAGACGCTTAACCATCTGAGCCACCCAGGTGCCCTATATTCTTAACATACCCTGAGAACAGGAAGAGAGATATGAACCTTTATGACACAGGCAGAATTTCTCCTCTGAACACTGGTAATTCATGTGACATTTGCTGTGTGCTTATGTTTGCAGGGAAATTCTTTCCCTCAACCTTGCACTGTACTGTTACTGGTCACTTCACAGACCTTCTGAAAGAGCAATACAAGATGATGTTTTAGGTACATAAAAAAGCAAATGTTTTTAGTGCTGGGCATAGGTTTGTTTTGTTTGGTTTTGGTTTGGTTTGGTTTGGTTTGGCTTGGTTTGGTTTTGGTCAATATTTGGTTCACATCAGAACCTTTATTTTTCCAGCCTGTAAGCTTTGGCTCTGAATTTACATGTTTTGGGAGGTTTGATGTTGTTGATAATCCAGTGATGAAACTTATTCACAGAAAAGGCTTATTGTGAGTGAAAAAATAAAATATCGGATCGTGTAGACAACACATACTTTTATTTTTTATTATTATTTTTTTTAAGATTTTATTTATTTATTTGACAGAGAGAGAGAGACAGTGAAAGAGGGAACACAAGCAGGGGGAGTGGGAGAGGGAGAAGCAGGCTTCCCGCTGAGCGATGCGGGACTCGATCCCAGGACCCTGGGATCATTACCTGAGCCGAAGGCAGATGCTTAACGACTGAGACACCCAGGCTCCCCTATTTTTTATTATTTATTTATTTTAATTTTGTTTATTTATTTATTTATTTAATTTTGTACTAAATGATACATGTGCTTGGTGTTAGGAATTCCATAGTTTGGGCCAAACCAATTGCTGATAATGCCATACCGATCTGAAGGTTGAAGTTTTATCAACAACTTCAGGTAGAAATCAGAGAAAAAGCCTCTGAGCAGCTCCATATAGCTGTCACAACCCCCATGTGGCCAGAAAGTACATTGTACTTCTGCTCTTCTCACCAAGAGCTTTTGGAACATAAGCATATTATTATTAAAGACTTAATTTTTTTAAGTCTTTTTAAAGAGCAGTTGTACGTTTACAACAAGATTGAAAAAGAGGTGTGGAGATTTCCTGGGTACCCACTGCCTCTGTACATGCATAGCCTCCCCCCATCATCAACATCCATTCCCAGAATGGTAAAATTTTTCACCAGAGTTGACGTTAGGGTTCATTCTTGGTGTTGTGCATTCTGTGGGTTTGAACAAATGTATAATGACATATATCCACCATTACAGTATCATCCCGAGTACTTTCACTGCCTTGAAAGTCCTCTGTGCTCTGCTTACTCATCTTTCTCTGCTCCTAGCCCTAGCAACTACTTTTCTTTTTATTATTTCCATGTTTTGTCTCTTCTAGAATGTCATAAACTTGGAATCTACAGTGTGTAGCCTTTTCAGGTTGTCTCCTTTCACCTAGTAATATACATTGAAGGCCCCTCCATGTCTTTTCATAGCTTGATAGTTTATTTCTTTTTAGCACTGAATAATATTACATTGTCTGGATACCACAGTTTATCCATTCACCTGCTGAAGCACATCTTGATCATTTCCACATTTTGGCAATTATGAATAAAGCTGCTATAAACATCCCTGTGCAGGTTTTTATGTGGACATAAGTTTTCAACTCCTTTGGGTAAATACCAAGGAGCATGATTACTGGATTGTACGTATTTAGTTTTGTAAGAAACTGCAAAACTGCCTTTCAAAGTGGCTGTACCAGTTTGCATTCCCACCAACAACGAATGACGGTTTCTGTTGCTTTACATACTTGCTAGCATTTGGTGCTGTCAGTGTTTTAGATTTTTGCCATTCTAATATACATGTTTAAAGGTATCTCATTGTTGTTTCAATTTGCATTTCCCTGATG